GCTGAGGTTGACAAAATTGGTTATTATCTGAAAGCCAAAGGCATTCCATTGCTATATAAAGAAACTAATCTTTTGTTGATTATCTCTCTTAAGAGAATAGATTAACTTAATTATATAAAATATAGAATTTTAAAATCAGATTTTGAAGCTAGTGATCAAGAAAAAATACTCAAAAGCACAAAACAAACTAGAAAAGTTATATAATGCCAGAAATAACATTTGCTAGAAACTTGTAAATAAGCCTTCAACATATTAAACATACATGGCCTTCTAGTTCTAAGGAATGAAGATAGCTTCCTCCTGGTTCTCCCATCCCCAAGGTCTTCTGTAATTTGAAAAATTTAATTGATATTTGAGAGTTAAATAGAGACAGCCCATGATGTGATGGTTAAGGTGGCTGGATTCCACATAACCAACTGTGCAGTACGAATTAAGGACCCAGCAGCTTGAGAAACACTGGAAGTGTGTGTGCATTTGTACCCCAAATCCTGAGAGGTGAATGGAGGTGAAGGCATTACTTCCTGCATGATCATTCCCCATGGGGTGTGCTTTCTCACTTACTCTCTCTCTTTCTCTCTTTCGTTCACTATCTCTGTCAAGTGCACATATTCTCTGGCAAAATAAAATTTAAAAAAGATGATGATGACTATGATGCTGGGCTGGCCCCATAGCCTTAGTGGTTGAGGGACCACAGTTTGAATCTTGGCTCCTGTAGCTTTAAGAACATGCTGAGTGCATGTGTGTGCATGCTCACTTACTGACAAGATGGAGAAGTAGAGGAGAAAGGATAGCGGCATAACCATGTCCTGCTGTGGGATATTTATATTCTTCTCTCTGATGAATACACATGCCCTCTAGCAATTAAAAAAAGATGATGATGAAAACAAATGATATTTTCAGACATTTGAGGAGCTATGGAAATAATAAGGACTGCAGCATATAACCTATAGGCAATTTTTTTTACTTTTGAGGCAAAAATCCCTTTTTCCAGTACTCACTCCCCCTGACTTAAGGAGGGTTTCACTTAGTTATTTATTTGCCACCCTTCTATTTTTTTTCTTGTGCACACTAATGGTTATGAACTTCTCTCCCTTTCTCTCTCTGTCTTTTTTTTAAGTTTTTTTAAAATTTTTTTTAAAAGAATTTTCTTTTGCGATAGGGTACACACGCTTTCTGGAGAGACACAGGGAAAGTGAGAAAGCAAGCTGCCATGTCCAGGACTTGAACTGTAGTCAATCATGTGGGAGTCCAGCGTCTCAACCACCACACCACTTGCTGATTCCCTGAACTTCCCTCTTAAGACTGCTTTCTCTGTGTCCCAAAGATTGTGAGGAGTGGTGTGTTCACTGTCATTTGTTTCAATGAATTGTTTCTCTTTTTTTTTCCCTTTATTCATGAGAATTCCTGTGCATACACATGATGAAGGTAGGAAAGTGGGGGGTGGGGTGGAGAGAGAGAGAGAGAGGAGCATCCTCCATAGGATCTGGTCATGTGTGATTTTCTTCCTCTAGTTATTGGACCTGGGGCACTTGTGTACATGCCTGGCAGATCACGCCAGTGATTTCAACTGTGATTGCCATGCGGGATTCAACTTCTCATGAGTAGCACATTACTGATGAATTGTGGATCCAACTGGGCATTTTTGTTTCTATCTCTCTTTTGTCAGAGATCTTTCTCTATCATTAGTGTTTTCAAGAAACCAGTGGTCTGTGATGGCTGTCTTAATCTCTTCTCTACCTTTTTACACATTTTCTTTTTACTTGTTGGGACAATGATATTTAAGAGCAAAGATATGATATTCCTAGGAGTTCAAATAGTTCCACAAGGCATATTACAAAAAATAGTAGACCCTGCTGTACTCCTAGAGTTCTGACTTAACTCTAAGTTACTTCTTCTAGGCATTTCACCTTTTATTTGTAAATAATGCTTTTACTACTATTTCTTGAGGTTTTTGTTATTGTTAATAATTTTTATCAACTTTTCACTGTGGAAATTTAGGCTTTGTTTGTTGTATCATTTGCTCATTTCATTACAACACGTGCTTCTATTCCTTAGCACACCATGTTATAATTTTTGTAGTATCTTTATTTAGTGTTTATATTATTAAAGCTATCTAAATAGTCACAGCTATGTGGAATACTGGGGTTACATTTTATGTGCAACCCTTAGTTTTTTACTGATTTAATTGTCTTTGTTTTTCTATTTGTTGACTTTCCATGTACCTGTTACTGATACATAGTTTCTGTGAGAGAAGTGTAACTGTCTTCTCAGTAGATAGAGGCACATCAAGTAATTTATCGTTTTCATTTTTTTTCTTATAGATTTCCCTCTTGGATCTCATTCCTTTTATTTTTAACTTTTCCTTCTGTTTACTCTTAACTCTGTCACGTAGGTGTTGCCATTTTATCCCAGAGTCTCTTTACTTTTGTCCTGAATTGTAGCTCTTATTTCTTGGCTCCTGAGTCACCAGTTTCCTTGTTTGTTTGCTTGTTTTGTTTTTTCATTTTTAAGTGTTGTTTATTTGGAAGTAATGAGTTCAGTTTTCACATTGAAGGCTTGTCACCTATGATTTATCCAGGTGCACAAGCCACTAGGGAGAAAATCCCAACTTTGTCCTTGAACAAAGCCCTTTATATATATGGTTTGGCTCCTGGAGATGAGTTTTAGACTCTTTTTTAATGGAACTCTTCCTTTGGTAGCTTCCTGTATACTTAAGACCTTAAATGTTTGAAAAAATATGATTTTGCTTTCGTGATCGATAATTTGGGTGGATATATAATTCTTGGTTGGAATTTTATTTTCCCTTAGATGTTTTAAGATGCTGCTTTATTTTCTTACAACTTCTCCTGTAGTTGAGGATACTGTTTGATCCTTTAATTCTTTGTGAGTAATTGTGTCCTCTTTGTAAACTTTTAGGATCTTGTTATCGGTCTTTAGTGATCTGAAATTTTATTCCTTTTTTCTTTTTTAAAGTTTCTTTCTTTAGAGTAGCAGATGGTATAGTAGTTATGTCGCTGGAGCTGGACTCCCACATAGTTGACCATGGTTTAAGTCTTGGACCCAACAGCTCAAAGCTCCTGCCAGGCGTGTATGCTTTTGCATTCCTAAAATCTCAAGAGGAGAATGGCGGAGAAGGAATTACAGCATGACCTTCCTCCCTGGAGGAGGGAGGGTGGTGATTTCTTTCTCTCTCTGTCTCTTTGGTGAGCATACATGCCCTATAGCAACTATCTCTCAAAAACAAAACTTTATTTCTTTCATGTGAGAGTGAGTGAAACAGAAAGATCCAGATACTCCGGTAGGATTTCCACTTTATGATCCCCGCCCCCACTCCCCTCCCCAGCTTTACCAGCCTTGGATTATGGGCATACTTAAGCCTGAAGTGCTCAGGACTGTCTCCAGATGCATATCTGGAACCTTCCCACATGGGTCAGGTTGTGTTACTGCTGTGCTGCCATCTGGTCCCTGGTCTCACTGCTATTTTTTTTTTTTTAGAGAGTTTTTTTGCTAGAGGGCGCATGTACTACTGGAGAGACAGAAAGTGAGAAATTACCCCCCAGGGGGTTGGCCACCCTGCAATCCCTTCTCCTCCAGTCCCCTTTCGAGATTTTGGGCATGCATGCACAGGTGCCTGGTGTGAGTTTTAAGCTACTGGGTCCAGGACTCGAACTGCAGTCAACTACATGGGAGTCCAAGGACAGAACCATTATGACTTGCTTTCTCACTTTCCCTCTCTCTCTCTCTTTCTCTCTCTCTCTCTGGTCAAGTTAAAAAATAATACGTTTAAAAATTATGTTCTTTAAAGAAAAAGCACATTAAAAAATAATATCTTTGTAGCATCATTGATCTTCCTTCCCTCCACATAAACATAACCAACTATCTTTGAATTTCATGTTCATCATTCTTCATATTTTTACCACTTAAGAATATGTGCTGGGACCAGCAGTTAGTGTAATGGCTATGTCGGTGGACTCCCATGTAGTCCTGGACTCGGTGGTTTAAACTCATGCCGGTCAAGTGTACTTGCGTGCCCAAGATCCTGAGAGGAGAATGGAAGAGAAGGGATTGTGGTGTGGCCATCCCTCTTGGGGGGTGATTTCGCGCTTTCTGTCTGTGTGTCTGTCTCTGTCTTTCTGGCGAGCGCATGCGCCCTATAGCAAAAGAAAAACCTCTCTAAAAAAAAAATAAGAAAATAAAATATGTGCTGATATTTGTGTAAGCACTTCTGCTCTCTTTTATGACAAAGGTCCCACTACCATTCATGTTTGGTAATTTGCTAGAAGGGCTCACGAGACTTGGAATATGGTTGTACTCAGGACTAAAATTTTTTGTAGCTATATAGTCATCATACATGGCCAGGTCAGTAAGAAGAAAAGACATATAGTCCACTTAGGCTTGCTATGCTCCCTGAAGGGGCTATGCAGAGTGTGCATAATGCCTCTGGCAGTGAAATACAGTAATGTATAGTCTTTCTACCCAGGGAAGCCTTTTGTAGCTCAACCAATTTTTATTTTTATTTTTATTTTTATTTATTTATTTATTTTTTTTGAGAGATTTTCACCGTAGGGCGCGTGCGCTCGCCAGACAGAGAGAGACATAGAGACAGAAAGCGAGAAATCACCCCCCAGGGGGGATGGTCACGCCGCAATCCCTTCTCCTCCATTCTCCTCTCGGGATCTTGGGCACGCACGCACACGCGCCCGGCGTGAGTTTTAAGCCACCGGGTCCGGGACACGAACCGCGGTCGACTACATGGGAATCCAGTGACATAGCCATTACGCTAACTGCTGGTTCCCTCAACCAATTTTTATTGAGGATTGGTTGCTTAGGTACCCCAGGCCCACCGAAATTCTGCATACCCAGAAGGAAAGAAAGCAGGTGTTCATCATAAATCACATCATTTATACAAGTAGTCTCGACATGCTGGCATGGTAGATACAACGTTATCAGTTAGCGATGGAGGGAATATTTTTAAAAGTCAAGTCTCTGGATGCCAATCAAGGGTTAGCCCTGTAAGCTTGGCCCTTTAAATGATTTGGCCTGCTATGTAAACTCTTTCCTGCACAGAGTCAGTCTCTATATACTGCATCATTTTATGTGTCCTTGTAGCTACTTTGAATTTTATATAAATGTGATTACGTAGCTGTCACTTTTTATTGACATTTTTATTCATGTTGCTTAGTTTATTTCACTAATCTATATGCAGTATTTGGCTCTAATATTGAATATCATGTCAGTGTAGTTTTTTGCTGGTCAGCGCAGCATTGTTTCTATGCTAGATTATATGAACTTCAACTTTACTAGTTATGCCAAATTATATTGTGAAGTAGTATACAACCCTGCTGGCTAATTTGTTGGTTTAAAAATACTTGGTTTTTTTTTTTTTTTTTTTTCATTTTGAAAACATATCAGAATTGGTCATTTAATAAGGAGATCTAATACTATATTCTTCCATGTTCAGTACCATAGATCATATTCAAAATCAGATCCAGTTTCTGCAAGGAAGAAAGAAGCTTCTCTGCAGTTCATTGTAGAAGCAAGTGAAGCTGCTGACAAATCAGGTTGGTGATGTTATTTGCCTAGATGCATTTAAAAAGTTAAAAACGCCTAATGTGGCACATGTGTTGGTTTGAGTGACAGGGTCTGAGTCAACTGAGGCAGACATGTGAAAGATGGATTTGCTTTTGATTTCCTTCCAAGAATTGAGTCTTGGAATAGTTGCGATGCATTTTTTTGCATATGAAAACATGGAAAAATATGTCATTACTCTCCTGATGACCCAATAGTCAGCGCTTTTTTTTCTCTTCTCTATTCACTTCATTTCCTTTAGTCAGTAATATATGCTGCCACTTTATTTCCTTTTTTCAAACTGGAAGAGAAGTACCACATTTGAGTTATCACTAGAACATTTAAAAAACCTATTTAATCCCATCATTCTGCTGAGGTAGCCTTTGAATCATTTTATACTTTTATTACTGCTCTTCAGTGAAAAAATACACAAACATAGGTGTGTTTATGTGTCTATGTGTGTATGTACTTTCAGAAGAGACTTTTAGAATTTTCTTTCACACCAACCATGGAAGGGTCGATAGATTATTTACTATTCTACCTTTTGCCTGTTTGATCAGTTTTAGGCATTATTATTATTACTTTTGTGTCTATTTTCATGATTACCATTGAGTTTTTTTTTTTTTTTTTTGGGAGAGATTTTCACTGTAGGGCGCGTGCGCTCGCCAGACAGACAGAGACATAGAGACAGAAAGCAAGAAATCACCCCCCAGGGGGGATGGTCACGCCGCAATCCCTTCTCCTCCATTCTCCTCTTGGGATCTTGGGCACGCACGCACACGTGCCCGGTGTGAGTTTCAAGCCACCGGGTCCGGGATGCGAACCGCGGTCGACTACGTGGCCAGCGACATAGCCATTACGCTAACTGCTGGTTCCCTACCATTGAGTTTTGAATACCTTTTTATGTTTACTGAAATGTCTTAATCTGTTATTTTGCTAACAGAAATACCTGAGAACTGAATGAATTTATGTATTTTATTTTTTTAAGATTTTTTTTTAATTGCTAGAGAGTGCATGTATTTACCAGAGAGAGAGAGAGACAGAGACAGAGACAGACTGAGAGAACCCCATTAGGGTGTCATCATGCTGCAGTCCTTTCTTTCCATTTTCTCTATCCTGTCAGGATTTTAGGTATCGATGCTCATGTCCCCAGCCATGTTTTTCAAGCCATTGGTGCCAATTTTGAACCATGTTTGGCCATTGTGGGATCTATTTCCCATACAGGCCACAGGCCTTGCCCTAAGTGAATTTATGAAAGTAGAGATTTAACGACTTACAGTTTTGGTGGCTTGAAAGTTTAAAGGCATCACAAAGAGGCGGAAAACAACTTGGAGCGAAGTGCAGCATGGTGTGTATTCATGTGGCGTTCTATCTTCAATTTTGGTCTTATTCCTTTTGCTTACAAACCCACTGAATTCAATCCTGGAGCTCATTTGCCCAAAGGCCCCAACTAGGACATCATGAAGGAATTAAGTTTTCACTAATTACTTTTACCATACAGTCAGATCCCAACACATGAATTTCTAGTGAACTTCTAGTTAACACCCACCCACCAAGACCAAATTCCAAAACAAACCATACAAAACCCAATTCTGAATTTTAGTTTTATCTGACAGTATGAATATCTGTGATTATGTATTCATATCCTTTCCTTATTTTTTTGTTCTTTGTAGATTTTTGACTTGAGTATCTATAACCATTTAACTATAATTTCCATGGCATATTTTTCCAAATGTTGCCTTCACTATTATAGTTTTTATTTATATTTCCTTTAACCACATGATAGTGTAACATTTTAAAACTTTAATTATTAAGCGTGTGACTTTTATAGTTCTAATTTTCTATTTTGGTTGAAGGATCTGCCTTACCCTAATAGTATATGTAATAACTTGGATTTTTTTCATCTTGCTGTTAGTTTTAAAAATGTAAGTGTTTAATCCATCTGAAATGTTTTTGGTGCGTAACTGATATAATCTCTTCCAAGTTTATTTTTTTAGCTGACCACTTGTATCAATTCCACTTACTACGTAAATAATTCATTCTTTTTTGAATAGACTACATCTATCATGTATTAAATCTCACATATTAATTAATATGCTTTTGAAGTCTGAATACTGTTTGGTTCTTACTATATAAGTGTAGTGTTGTTATTACTGATAGTGGCTTTATAGTACATGCTGGTGTAAAGATAAATGCCTTCATTGGTCTCCTGCCATTTTCAAATATTTTTCCTTTCAGCACACTTTCAGTTTTATCCTATGCCCAATAAATTTTTGTTAGTATTATAGCTAGAATTGAATTTAATTTACATAGTAGTTTGTGAAAATTCACATTTTTATGCTATTTAGGTTTTTTCTTTTTTTAGAGTGTTTTTTTTTTTTTTTTTTTTTTTCGCCATAGGGTGTATGTGCTCGTCAGAGAAACAGAGAGATAGAAAGTGAGTAATCACCCCACAAGGGGGATGGCCACGCCACAATCCCTTTTCTTCCATTTTCTTTTCAGGATTTTGGGCATGCATGCACACATGAGCTTCAAGCCTCTGGGTCTGGGACTAGAACTATGGTCAGCCATGTGGGAGTCCAGCAATGTAACCATAACACCATCTGCTGGTCTCTAAATTTTCTACAAAAGACATATCTTACATAAGTAAGGCATACAAATGGTCTGTTTTAAGCACATTTTCGAGAGTGTAAAAGGGTGGACCAGCAGGTGGCATAAAGGTTAAGGCCCTGGATCCCACATGGCCAACTCTGATGTTCAAGTCGTGGACCTGGCAGCTTGAAAATCATGCTGGACATGTGTTCATGTGTTCCCACAATCCTGAGAGGAGACTGGAGACGGGATTATAGTGTGGCCATCCCCCTAGGGGGTGATTTCTCACTCTCTCTTTTCTCTGGTGAATGCAAGCACCCTATAGCAAAAACAAAACAAGAAAACAAAAAGAATATGAAAGGGCAACTGCAGAATAGGAGAACATAATTGCAAATCACTTAACTGGTAAGGAATTTGTGTATGGTATGTATCAAGAACTTCTGGAATTCAGCTACAAAAAATCAAATAGCCAATTAAAAAATTGGCAAAGGGACGCCAGCAGGTGGCTTGGTGAGGGTTCCAGATTCCTAAGTGGCTGACCACAGTTTGAGTCTTAGACCCAACAGCTTTGAAAATTGCAGCCACACTAAGCATTTGTGTGTGTGTGCCCAAAATTCCAAGAGGAGAATGGAAAATAAGGGACTGTGGTGTGGCCACCCCCCTTGGAGGAGATTTCTCATTTTCCCTCTGTCTCCGGTGGGTGCACGTGCCGTATAGCAAAAGCCTTAAAAAAAAAAAAATAGCGGGCAAAGGACTTGAGTTGGTATTTCTCCTCCAAAGGAGGTACACAGTCGACCAATGGACATATGAAAAGATACTCAAAATTATTAGTCATTAGGAAAGGCAAATTAAAACTACTATGAGATAACACTGTATACCTACTAGGATAATTATTTTAAAATAAAAAAGGAAGATAATAAACATTGTTAAGAATATGGATAAATTAAAATTATGTGCATTGCTGGTGGAATGTAAAATGGAAAATAGTTTAGTGGTTTCTGAAAAAAATTAAAATGGACGACTCAATAATTTCACTTCTAGGTATATAGCAAAAAGACTCAAAAGCAGTGACCCAGACACCTGTACACTATTCACAGCAGCAGTATCACAATACCTAAGTAGACAACTCAAGTGTCCATGAACAAAAGAATTGAAAAACCACACTGAGCATAATTCAGCCATAACGAATACATGTTATGTGTGTTCTAATCTATTCCATTGCTAGTAACAGGAAATACCTGAAATTGGGTAGTTTATAAAAGTTGAAGTTTTTTCAGCTCACAGTTTGAAGGTCTAAGGTCCAGGGGCCCTTCCTGGAGGGATTCTTGTTGCTACATCAGAGCATGCTGATGTGCAGGAGAGCATGGTCTGTGTTCCATGCTGGTCCTTGCCTGGCTTGTTCCTCTGCTTATAAACCCACCAGGACTTGGGACCAGCAGGTAGCATCATGGCTATGTCTCTGGACTCCACGTAGTTGACCAAAGTTCAATTCCCAAATGTGGCAACCTAAAACTCACACAAGGAATGTGAGCATGCATGCCTAAAATCCCGAGAGGAGAATGGAGGAGAAGGGATTGCATCGTGACCACCCCTCTGAAGGGGGTGATTTCTTCTTTTCTCTCTGTATCTCTCTGTTTCTCTGGTGAGTATGCGCTCTATAGCAAAAATCTCTCTTAAAACAAAACAAAACAGAAAAAAAAACCCAGGACTCAATTATAGGGACTCTGCCCTATCTATCCAATCACTAGTCTCTTCCCAAAGTCCCGTTTTCCCACATCATAATTGGATTAATTTTTTGCCCATTACAATGGCTTATGAATTTTTTTAGGTATATATTCAAACTATAACAACATGGAAGAACCTTGGAAACATTGTAGAAACTGTAATTGGCCAGACACAAAAGGACAAATACGTATTTGATTCCGTGTATGTGAGTTACTGAGAATAGGTAAATTTAGAGATAGGAAGTAGAAGACAAGTAACCAGGAAGTGGGGGTAGGGAGTGATGGTTAATTTTTGCTTACTGAGTACAGAGTTTCTGTTTCAAATGATGAAAAGTTCTGGAAAAAAATGTTGATGGTGGCTCAGTGTTGAGAACATTCTTAATGCCACTAATGTGTGTTTAAAAATGGTTATAAAGGTGTATTTTATATCATTTATGTTTTGGAATTAAAAAATGTTTAAAAATATTACTATTTCCTAGCTCTTCATTCTTCCCTCGTAGTTTTGGGTCTCTGATTTTCTTGTTAAGGTAAATCCTAACTATATTGTAATTTTTGCATTATTTTTAATAGATTTTTTTTTAATTATAAGGGGCTAACTATGTAGAGGAAATTTTAATCTAGTGCTTACCAGAGGATTTTTTTAAAAAATTAAATCTAGACATTAAAAAAATTTAAAT